CTGTTCAAAACCGCATTTGCATTGACAAAAGTGAGACGCGTTTTCCATCTGTGTTTATAAGTGTAAAACTATCAAATAAGAGTAGTGAAATTTGAGAAAGTTGGAGCAAATAACCATGACTACAAAATATTCGACGAGGTATGAGAAGGATTATCCATGGGGCGCGCCGGATCCCAAAGTACCGACTGCTGCTCGATGCACCTGGTGCAATAAATCATTCAAAATTGATACGACGGGAGTCATGAAAAAAGCAAAGGCCATCAGCATCAGGCTGCAGCACGTCGCTCAAATTTGCCGATCAGCAGCTTATTTGGAACGAATGGTAAGCTCCGAAATAACACGCTTGATTATACCACAATGCACTGAAACTTGCAACGAAACTTCGATTATTGTTTTGGTTGCTATCGAATCAAGTTCATCATGTGCTGAGACTTTAATACAAGAATTCTATGAATTGAATACTGATCTTCTATCTCAAATTTCAGATCGTTCAACAAATGATAAAATCATATCTTCAACTTCAAGTTTGACTGTCGATCCCAAGGTGAGTACAACTACCTTGGTCGATCCAATTCAGACAAATGCTTCAACATCATCTGAAGTGGCAGTAGGCGCCAATCAGGCTGTCATGAAAAAGTATTTTTTAAACGATTCGGTGACGTCCGCTGAAATTTTATGGGCACTTGATACTGTGGCCACCCATGGTTCATACCATAGTGCAGGTACCAGTGTTGCTCTGTTCCAGAAGATGTTTCCTGACAGCCAAATTGCTTCGAAGATGGAGATGAGCCGCACCAAAGTTGGTTATTTCATCACACACGGTCTGGCACCTTACTTCAAGAAGATCTTACTGACCAAAGTTGAAAGTTGCTCCGAGGTCGTCCTTGGATTCGACGAAACACTGAACAAAATTGCACAACGGCAGCAACTTGATGTAAGCATTCATTTTTGGGATGAAGACAAGCAGGAAGTACAGACAAGATATGTAGGCTCAGCTTTCCTATCATCGACACGAGCGATTGACTTGATGAGTGGGATCAAGAAGTGTTTCGAAGCATATCCCGGACTGTTGAAAAAAGTTATTCAGGTGTCTATGGATGGACCCAACGTGAACTGGCGACTCCTTAACGATCTGTCCTCCGAATTGCAAGAGATGCGTGAGAGCAGTTCCTTCAGTCTACTCAGCATTGGCAGTTGCGGTCTTCATGTAGTGTATAATTCGTTCAAGAGCGGTATGCAGAAAACGGACTGGAAGATCGATCAGTTTCTGATGTCGTTGTACTACCTGCTAAAAGATGTTCCCCTAAGACGTGCTGACTTTATAGCAGTTACTGGTAGCACCATATTGCCGCTCAAATTTTGCGGAGTCAGGTGGGTGGAAAACCAGCGAGTAGCAGAACGAGCTCTAGATGTGCTTCCTCATCTGCGAACATATGTGAAGGCAGTAAAATTTCAACAAGAGTCAAAACGAAAAGAAAGTCATCCCGATTTCAGGAGAAGCTTTAAGGCGGTTTACAGCTCCAACGCGTTTTCAGTGGTGTCCCAAGCGGTATCGGATCAGCTCTTTGGACCTAAATTGAGCTTTTTTGTAGCTGCAGCGGCAAATGTGGAGCTATTTTTGAAAGAATTTCAGGGTGATGCACCACTTGCTCCCTTTTTGTACGATGAACTAACAAGCCTAGTTCAAAATGCGATGCAGAGAGTGGTGAAGCGAGACCGCCTTAAAAAGAAACCTAAAGCGCTAACGGAGATTGACTTAAATCAGGACAACCTTCTTACATCAGCTGAAGTAGACGTGGGATTTGCTGTAAAAGCGGCTATCAAAGCGGAAGGAATCCGTGGAAAAATGTCTGAACAACAACTCTTGGTGTTTCGCAACGACTGCAAAAACTATTATGTTGCATTTTTGACGAAACTCCTCGATCGTTCGCCACTTCGATATGCTCTAACAAGGTATATTTCTTGTTTAAGTCCATCTGTCATTTCAAACTCCCCAGATGTAGCCAAGAAACGACTTGAGTTTTGTTTGGAACATATGGTGGAGAAAGATCATTTGGCTGGAGCTGTTGCGGACAAGGTGAAGGATGAATATTCGCAAATTTGCACGATGGCCTTCTTCAAGTTAATTGCTTCAGGATATCGCAGACAGGAGACACGGGTCGATCATTTCTGGATGAAGGCAATTGCTGATTCTGGAAAACAGCTTCCGAATTTGGCATCGTTTGTCAAGAAGATATTGATAATATCTCACGGAAATGCAGCCCAGGAGCTCGGATTTTCCGTCAACAAGGAGTGCCTGGTGGTAAATCAATCCGAAGAAAGCCTGGTAGCACAACGCACTGTACATGATGAGATTTTAGCGGCTGGGGGTGTGACCAACATTCAAGTGGACAAGCAGCTTATTCAGTACTGTCGAAACGCCCGAGGTCGGTACCAGGAATTTTTGGATGCAAAGCGAGCTGATGGGATTGCAAGCGATAAAGAAGCTAGCCGAAAGAGGGAAGCGGACAAAGCAATAAAAGTGCTGGAAATGAAAAAGGCTAAACTTTTGGCAGACGCAGAGAAAGAGGCTGCTGCTTTGGACGTTAAACTAAAAGAGCTGAGAAAGTAAAGTGTAATATTAAGGTTTCTTTTTAAATATAAACTGATTCGACCATTTTGTATGGAACATAAACATATTTTCCTATTATTTTTGTATCTTCATCTGGATTCAGCTATGAGGTTGGTTTTCTGTTTTTGTGGATGAAAATTGTCGAAAACTTGCTTAGTTATTTTCATTTTATTTTGTTTGAGGCAAACCGGGAAAATATTAATGTTTTAACCGGGAAAACCGGGAAAAACCGGGAATTTCAAAATAAAAATTCTGTGGCCCCCCTGAGCTTACCATGTTCTGGGAACTAGAAATGTGCAGATCAACCAGCATCTTCTCAATGGAGGAATCAGCATGCGAAGAAATGTTTAACAGCACCACAGTTCGGGATGATGCTGGAAGATTCGTTGTCACTCTCCCCGAAGAAGGAACACCTCATCAACCAGATAGGAGAATCCAAAAAACGATCGCGATCAAACGTTTCATGGGACTGGAACGACGCTTCGCATCAAATCCCGAGCTGAAGGATGAGTACACGAAGCTTATCCGTGAATATGAAGAGCTAGAAAACATGGAGGAAATTTGTGGACAATCTACAGAGGAGAAAGATTATTGCCTGCCACATCACGCCGTTTTGAAACCAGATAGCACCACTACCAAGCTGCGGGTAGTATTCGATCATATTCGATGCTGATTGCCGTACGTCGAGTGGGATTTCGCATTAATGAAGCCTTGATGGTAGGTCCAGTAGTGCAGGATGATTAGGCCTATTCTGCGCGGCGTGTGAGGTGAGGTGACACGCTGTCACTGTCACAAAATTGTCACTGCACCATCACTTCGCTGTCACCTCACCTCACACGCCGCGCAGAATAGGCCTAGATATTCAAGACATTTCCCTACGCTTTCGTCTACATCGCTATGTTCTGGTTGGTGACGTAGCTAAAATGTATCACATGGTCCTGAACTGCCGTTATACGCATAAGAGTCCCACGGTGCATAAGGATTGCATAGAACATGGGACAGTTATGCGTAGAACGGTAGTGAAGCACATAGATGATCGCCGTTTCTCGAAAATTGTTTGGAGGGACAACGTAAACGAACCGATTCGTACGTATCAACTAAAAACGGTCCCGTACGGAACTGCTTCTACCTCGCTACAAAACATTTGCAACGTCTGTCGGAAGATGGAGAACCAACATTCCGTTAGCTGCAAAAGTGCTCAGGCAAGATTTCTATGAGGACAACATGCTGTCAGGTGTAGATAACATCGCGCAAGGCAAAGTATTGATTCAAGAAATTATAGCGCTGTTACATTCACCCGGTTTCATCCTTCGAAAGTGGAACTTCAATTCGAGTGAATTGCTGATAAACGTACCAGAAGGGACAGTCGTTCTATTCTGGAGCTTGAATCAGCTAATTCCAGTTGTAAAACACTAGGATTAATGTGGGAGCCTAGCTCTGATCACTTCAAATTCTGCACACCGTCGTGGAACACCACTTCAATAATCACCAAGCGAACTGTGCTCTCGGATGTTTTCCGTATATTCGATCCACTTAGCCTAGTAGGATCAGTTATAGTTCAGGCATAGATTTTCATCTAAGAGGAAGCAGTGTGGCGGGAGTACAAGCGGAATTTAGTAGATCTGGACACATTGACGATTCCTCGTTGGGTTGGATACAGCAAAAATGTTTCAGTTGTTGAGCTTCATGGATTCTGCGAGGCGTACGGAGCTTGCATCGATTTGCGCACCGTGTTGGAAGCTGGCAAAATTTAAGTACATCTACTGACAGCTAAATCTCGAGTAGCTCCTCTGAACAATCCGAAGAAAGCTGAAAAGCATGAAATCACTCCTCGATTGGAGCTTTCTTCAGCGCTTCTGCTTGCACATTTGTATGAAAGTGCAACCAGTTCGGTAGACTTCAACCGATCTACACACGATACATTCGAGCATTGACCAGATTGTACCACCCCATCGTAGTTTGTATTAGCCCCATTGATTCCATTAGTATGTAAATTGACATAAATCCAGTAGGTGCACCGGACTCTAATATGGATCCTTTTAGAATGCCACAGAAATGGATCTGGGAGTTTTCGAAAGAATGAAAAGTGAGGAGATGGTAAAAAGTTGCAGCACGGAATATGATTTCGTGGATAGAGGGCTGATTGTATGAACTTACTTCTGGAAGGAGATTCTCTATCGGGTTTCCCTGTAAGTGTCTCTGCATACGGGTCCGTCCCACCGTTTTTGGCCCTTCATACTGGAGATAAGAAATCAAATCTAGATCAAGGCATTTAGTACGAACAGTCCATTGCTATGTGCAGGCGCCTTGCTACAATAGGTGGTAGTCATCATCATCATCAGCACGGAATATGATTCGAAGAAAAAGTTTTCCTTGGCAATGACACCGCTTTATTTGTTAACTGCTACAGCACAGAAGTTGTGATAAATCTTAAAGAAATTTTCCAATTATACATTCAGCTTATCTACAGCTAATGATTCTACTCAATTAACGCTAGACAGGACACGCGCACTTCGAGAACTGAGTTGAATAGATACTTACAAAGTAGGTTAAGAGTGTATTCGGAATCATCGTTTGTGCTAGATATCTAGATTGAGCGTAACTAAAATGGCACATAGAAGTACGTTAAAATCGTTGATAGTAAGCCTAACCGTATCCTACTAAACTATCCACTGCTTTCAGTTGGAATCCGCCATTTCGAGTTCAATCTTTTCGAACTCGTCCTCCTTGTTGATTGTGGCACACCGAGCAGTGAGGTCATCCTGTAATGCAACAAAATTAACTTTACACCTGTACTTTGAATTTCAAATTCTATAATCTCCCCCTAACCTCTTCCAGCTCCAAGCAATTGCCCCACTCTTGCAGAGTGATCCTGTGGTCTCCGTTCGGGTCGCATGCTTCCAGGAACGGAGCAATGCAATGCTCCAGCGTCATCAGTGGTGCCCGGATCGGGAACAGCTCATGTCGCGATACGGAATTATCGTTCGGATGTCCATCCAAATCGCACCACTTCCAGATGGCGGCATTCGTCCACCGCTTGGTCAGATTGGTTTCGGCTTCCTGTTCCAGCTCCATGTACGCTTCCGGCAGTTCATTGCGCACGGCCAAGTCACGCATCACGTTGAACAGCCAGTCGCGCATGCGACGCGGGAAGTCGGCCAGATCGTTCTCGGAGCAGTCCTGAAAAATGTCCGTTCATATAATTTACCCTATTCGAGTGGCTCAAAGTGATCAACTCACCGGCATATCCCGGCACTGGCCGTAGTAGTCAATGTGAACGTGCTTGACTTCATCCCCGCGGCAACGTGGATCGTCCGTGTTGCACAGACACCGCTGCCTGTGGACCTCGCAAGCCGAGTCCCATGTTTCGTTGAAATTGGTGCAAACCTTCCTTCTGGAATCCGGTTCCTCCGGACACTCGGGAATGCAGATACACTTGGCATCATTGCCCTCGGCCTGGCAGATGCGTCCCGCGCCACAGCGAACGCCCTTGCATGGATCGGCCAGTCGCGGCAGGGTCTGAACGTCTTCCGGGAAGTTGTAATGTTCCGCAGCGATCTTGGCCGCCAGTTCCCGGGCCATTTGATCTTCCTTGTCGAACTGGCGTTGCACGTGCTGGGCTTCGATTTGTCTCAGCAGATTTTCATCGTCCTCGTCAAAGTCTTCGCTGGCATTGTCGTCCAGCAGGTCATCGTCGTCTTCGTTGGCGCTGACCAGCAGACACGAGGTCACCAACAGAAGAGCCAACGCCGTCAGCTCCAGTCGCCGCATGATGGTGATGACGTGGATTTGTCCAACTCACAATCGCACTTAGTTTCTATGCTCGATTAAATGTTGCAGACGGCATGAAAATAAATGGGGAACAGAACGAGTTAATGAATGAACCAGATTTGTACGACCCGATAGCAGCGCTGATGGAAGAGCTGCGAAAGAAATTGTGCGGAGCAAGTGGGTGGTGAGTGCTGGACGCGCGAGTCTGGAAAAGATATCAACGGTTGCAGGCGGCTTCTTGTTACATTTATCGGCATCAGCATCCTGTTCAGTTTGCGTAAACATTTTCTGATTGAAAGGGTGCTAGTGTGTAGAACACATAAGTAATTGTGATCGCGTACAAACATGAAAGTGCATTCAGTGCACACGGTTCTCGCCTGTAGATTCCACATGGCACACATTATCACTACTGCACGCCTTCAATTAAAATTTATTAAAAATGTTGTCATCTTTCGCTCGTTTAAATTACACATTCGCAACATTGCAATCTTCGTACGGCGAGTTGGTAGAGACAGATGCAACACACAACGGATAGGCATCAATGCGGAAACGTACTAAATCTCCTGCCCGCTCTGCCATGCAGTTGGTCTGTGGATGCTGCAATTATACATATATATAGGGTTAAGATCTAATTTCCGCCATAATAAGCACAAATCGCACTTTACCACTATATTTCTCAAACGGGGTTGAAAATCAAATGGAATGTTTCTATCAAGGATGATTTCTAAATTAATTTACCGTTCGAAATATGCCCCGACATCAATCTGAGACGAAGAGCCCTTTAGGCTAAATCAATTGAAGTGTAAGATGAAATGTAAAAATCGTAATCAATTTTACTGCTTTTTACTACCTTTCCATACCTACCGTTGGATTTGATAAAGAGTCACACATTTTTGAGATAATGTTTAAAATCTAACATCCAATTCAGTCATACGAGTTTCAATTCTGTCCAAACACATTGAAATGTCATTGGATTCACTTCGACATACGGATGAAAGCAGAAAAAAATGATTCTTTAAGAGCGCTTCCTTTGTTTTCGAGAAGAATGGATGTAAATAGGTATTCATTTTTTTTCCTTTGGTTTGTTTTCCGTCGATCTTGTTTTCCGTGCTGAGAACCAATGCTACCGACGCGACGCCAGGAAGGCAGCTCCCACACCTGGACCCTACTTATCGACACATCAACTCATGCACCGGAGACCAACGGCCTTACTTCCCTTCCGAAGGAAGACGTGATCAGAGATGTTATGCCTCAGAACATCCCGGCGGCGAAGACTGGGATTGAACCCACGCCTGCTGGGTGAGAGGTAATCACGCTTACCACTACACCACCGGCGCCGCTATGTAAATATTCATATTATGCGTTCTTATGAACTTTGTTTCGTAGCTTTTGAACTAAACTATCGTAGCAATAGCAAACGTATGATTGATACGTTCACGTCGGTATCATCGATATGTTTGATGTTTCTGCTCGATTTGACGGAAATGGGCGCTTACGCCGAAGTAGTTCTCTACCCTATTGTGCTTATGGCATTTTCAATGCTGGGCACAGTTTTATAAATAGTAACTGATAATAGAGCAACTTTCAACTTAATTCAGAAACGAATCTACCATGAATGTTATAACAACGTTAAAGAACGTGTAAAGTGTTTGTGTTATTTCATTATTCGTTATTCAAACTATGCTTAGCTATCTTTTATACAAAACTGTAAGAGAATCTTACGTTTTTCGACTGGGTGCATGCAAAACATAAACAAAACATGCAACATTCGAGTGATGTGCTCTAGAACCGGGACACCGCGTCAATCATCAAGGTTAGACGCATCTTCCACAACAGCACAATTTTCCGATTTTCTCCCTGTTACTGTTAAGCTAGAAAAAACAGTCCAGTCAATACAAACGGAAATTACATATTTGCGTAAACAAAAGCGTAAACTATATATCGACTATCTAACTCGGTACTGCACAGTTCAAAACAGTTCTTCGGTTGTGTAAAAACGACCAAAAAGAAAACTAATTTTATCTTCTTCTTCATCTTCATCTTCTCCATCACACTGCAATACGCTGTTTACTTATTGGGATGGTAAACACATTTTAAAGCTCATAAACTCACGATCGGTTGCTGACTGCACATAAACAAATGGAATTTTTGCGATGATCGATTTATGCCTCTACACATTTTGGAAGAAGGGATGTTTTGGGGCGAACAGGAAACCGTGAGGAGGTGTCTTGGTTTTAAAACCGAAAATGCAGCTGTTCGTCTGCTATCACACCAGAAATACTTGATATCGAATTTCATTTCGGTTGTAAGGTCGCATAACCATTCGAAATGAAGAATGTGTTTTTTTTTATTAAAGGACAATGCATTACATGCACACATGTTTACATGAGCCGTATTTTTAAACGCGCTCTTCTTTACTGAGCCGATATTTGTATACCTCTTGATGGTTGCCTGTAGATGATGTCATCATTTGTGTTAATCCACATATTGGGAACATTGAAGACGTTCGAAATGAATTTCGTTTCTGTACACACAAAAATGAGGATGAGGTAATGCCATTGGCAAGGCATACATCTTTTGCATCAGGTAGTAAAATACATATTGCGCGTTTCACACCAAATTGGAATTACAAGTTTACGTATAATCGTCTTGGTGTCTTCGGTGCACTTATTTCTTATGATGCAAGCAATAAGTGCTCCGAAGACATCAAAACGATTTGACGGGAACGTGCACTTTTATCACACTTTTTGCATTTTTGGGACAGTCCAGTTTCAGATGCAATCAGCAATATTATTTAGTATACTTTGTACTTTGACTTTCAATGATTAAGTAATCCACATGCTAAGAGCAGATAACCCAAATGTAGGTTTAGTTTACCCAGATTGGGCATAAACCGGACAAACTCAGAATATGGGTAAATTTGCAGCCAAATTAGCATGAAACTCACTCATACAGGGATCATATTTACCCATATTTGGTTTAACAAATTTATCCATATTCCGAGTTTGTCCGGTTTACACCCTATATGGGTAATCTCTTTGAGCAATCTGGGTAAACTTATCTTAGCGTGCATACTAGCTTTTCTCAATCGCTCCGGTAAGTCGCGAGCTGTCCTTAAGAGGGTCAGAGAAATTCAAATTCCAAATATTTATGGAATTATTGCCTTCAAATGTTATAGTCGCCTATAGTGAATTTTTCTCTATTTATGGTCAGCAGTCGCTCGTTAGCTGGCAACATCAATGGAGTGAAGGGAGCTTGGGACGATGGCTACATTCAATTATCCCTAAGGTGTCGAAGTTTGCATGGTTCAAAGGGTTGGACTGCAATCTCTGTAAATGTGGACAGCAATCTCTGTAAATGTGGACAAGGTTACCAGGACGCTGATCACCTCCTTTGGTCTTGTGCGGAGTATCGTGGAGTCAGATCACATTTTTATGATTCCCTTCGGGCTCGAGGTAGACAACCTAATGTTCCAGTTCGGGATATTTTGGCTAGACACGATCTGGAGTTTATGAAACTCATATAGGGGAAATGCAGGTAATGTCGGCCTAACTGTCCCTAATTTGGGCAGCAATCAACTAAATTTTCAATAGCAACCAAAAATATCCATTAGTAACGTCCCAATAACGCGTTCATCTAGATAAAATTGATAAATAGCAGACTTTTAGCGATGGGCCCAAATTAGGGACATGTAGGCCGACATTAACTACATTTCCCCTATGTTTACTTTAAGAATATTAACCTTAGATTGTAAGTTTGATTAACCTTGTGTTTAGTTTGTATTTTGTACGTGTGGGTTTTTTTCTCAATGTTTGTTTTCAAGATGAATAGAAATAATTTCATGTTTTAGGATTAATTAAATATTTGTATCGTAAACCACATTTCAGACCTCCTTCTTCCCTTTTCCCATCCAAAAAATTGTAAATCTCAACTAACCTCGAGACAACCGCGAGTACTCGGTCCAGTTCCTTTAACTTTAAATATAAGACAGCAATAATGTATAACGGAAAGGATAACTCGGCTCTGTAAAGTTTATTCAATTGAGCCTGTACAAATAAAGTAATTATAAAAAAAATGTTATATGAACGGCTTGAATTTTAAATGATTTAAAAGTTACTCAGAATATTGCAGATTTCGCACCTCATCAGACGTCTGTTAACAATAAGTACACAGTAGTTTTCTGGAGCTCGAACTCGTTAGTATAGCTTGCCAGTACTGTTTTAAAGCTGCTACTGATTTCAAATAAGTCGATTTTTCAATTTTATAGCCAGTGCGAAAAAAATACTGTACAATCCAGCTTTCCATGCTCGGTAACGGCGGTCTGTTTCTATGAATAAATGTATCCTTCACTGTGCTTTTTGACACTAACTGGAGGGCGTATGTAGTTCCATTTTCTTCTGTTCCTGTGAGAGGGAAAGAGAAGGATCAAAATCCGATCAAAATAGTGTCAAAAAGCACAGTGAAGGATACATTTAATCATACAAACAGGCCGCCATTACCGAGCATGGAAAGCTGGATAGTAAAAGCAACAATCAATACGAAACTAACGATTTTAAATTGGCTCACCACTTTAGTAGCCTATTGGTCCCAAGCAAACGATTAACGTACCCTATTCTAGTTGAAATTCTATTACTACACTATGTTTGTTTTGATTCGCTATGAAAGTTTGACAGATAACATCAGGGGTGTGTGGATTCATGCAGAACATGCAGGGATGAGTGAAATAGCTTGGGACTGCTTGGGACCGTTGTTCTGGTACTGAGTGAGCCAAAAATAATAATGATTTTCTTCGGGACCCAGTGGTCTTAGAGTTACCTCTATGGTAAAAGCAAGTAAGAGAACAGGCTCATATCTACACTACAGATATTCGCATATCAGTCCCATTTGGAATATCGTCATTTCGAGAAAATTACGACTTAACATATTAATATAATTTGTTGTTTTTATTTAACATGGGCTACAAAAAGGTGAGTTGACAACCTGGAAGGAGCGGAATACCTAGCTTTGGTCCTCACAAGTTCTTACCTCACACCTCCCCGAGTCATA